TGTGTTTTTCTCTTTCTCACTCTTTTCCTTCCTCTTCTTAAACTAGTCCCTTGAGCGTATCTTGGAGTGCTGGTTTTGTAGAGATGTATTCTTTTAGCCTTCTTTTGTCTGGGAAACTCCGTATTTCCCCTTCTATTTTAATTTAGAGCCTTGCTGGGTAGAGCAGCCTTGGTTGTAGGGCCTTGCTTTTCATGACTTGGAATATTTGCTGCCATTCCCTTCTGGCTTGTAGTGTTTCTGTTGAGAAGTCAGCTCCTAGCCGTATCAGGGCCTCCTTGTATGTTACTTTCTCCTCCCTTGCTGCCTTGAGGATTCTCTCTTTGTCTTTGATAGTTGCCATTTTAACGATGATGTGTCTTGGAGTGGACCTCCTTGAGTCCTTCTTGAGTGGGGTCCTCTGTGCCTCCTGGATCCATGAGACCCTTTCTCTCCTCAAATTAGGGAAATTTTCCATCATTACTTTTTCAAGGATCTTCTCTATCCCTTGATCCTCTTTTCCTTCTGGTATCCCTATTATATGGATATTATTGCGTTTCAGATTGTCCTGCATTTCCCTCAATGCCTCTTCATTCTTTTTGAGTCATTTTTCCATTTCTTGTTCTTTCTGGGAGCTCTTTCTACCTTATCCTCCATCTCACTGATTCGATCCTCGGCTTCATCCAGCCTGCTTTGGATTCCTTCTACGGTGTTCTTCAATTCAGAAATGGTATTCTTCATATCCTCTTGTGTCTTCTTGATAGTTTCTATGTCCTTTTCCAGGCTGATATAGTTTGTTGTAAGATCCTGATAGTTTCTCTTCAGTTTCTCATAGTTATCGTTCAGCTGGCTGAGCTCATTGAGCTTCCTTAGAACCATTGTTTTGAATTCAATATCTGATAGTTCCCTTGCCTCTATTTCATTGAGCTCTCTCTGTGGGGAGTCCCCTTTTCCACTCATTGGGGGGGAACTTCTTTTTCTTCCCATTTTTTGAGAGTCTGTTAAGTAATTTACTTATTTATTTATTTATTTTTGCTTCTGCTTCAATTGGGCCGTCTAGATTTCCTGACTTTGTGGATTAAATTTCTATGGTAGTAGGTGGGTCTTTTTTATTTATTTATTTAATTATTATTATTTTTTCCTTTACTTTTCTTTTGGGCCTGCCTCTCATGATGTAAGTTGTTGACTTTATATGACCTTTGGTCATTTGTTTGAGCCTTCCAGGAGTCTACTGTCTGTGTCTGACCCCTGCTTTGGGCAGCTGTGTGACCCCTTCAGCCAGGGATCCACTATTTCTGTGGATCACTCTGCATGCTCCTGCCGGCTCCTTGATTGCGCTCCCCGGCCTGGCAGGATCCCCTGCCAGCCTGGGCTCGCGCATGCTTGCCCCAGCCCAGGGGGCTTCTTTTCGACCTTGCATACTCGTCTGGTCCCCCAGGCTGGCGGGCCCCCTGGCACTGGTCTGTTTAGGGTCTTCTATTGTGTGTTTTCCCCGCTTTTGGCTCTTTGGATGCATTGCTTGCCCTTGCCAAATGGAGACTACAGAAATGGGAGGAAATCATCTCCAGGACTCTCCGGTTAATCCTGTCTCCAATCTCTCCTCCCGGGACTCTGGGCAGCTCGGTGACCCCTTCAGCCCGGGATCCACTATTTCTGTGGCCTGCTCTACATTCGCGGCCCGCGTGGGTTGATTTACACCTGCGCTTGCCAATCTGTGCACTCCCTCGCAGGCCCCATCGGTGCCAACCTGTGGGAGGCCTTGCCAGCCCACACGGATCCGCACACACACTCGCCAACCCTTGCTGGCCACTTCGCCCAAGTGTGTCCGCCTGCACTGGGTGGTTTTGGGCTCTCTATCGTGTGCTTTTCGGCTTTTGGCTCTTTAGGGGTGTGTCCTTTTCCCGCACAATGGAGACTAGGGAAAGGAGAAGGAGTCAGGACTCCCCGCTTCCTCCTCCCGTTCTTTCCCCAACGCCTCCATTTCCAGTCTCTCATCAGGGGTCTCTGGGCAGTTCTGTGACCCCTTTGGCCAAGGATCCACCACCTGTGCGAACTGCGTTTCAATCTCGGGCAGTCTGGTTCGCACACGCCCTGCTTCTGCCTCTTTGGGGGTGCGCCTTGACTGCCCAGAATGGAGGCTACAGAATGGAGAGGGAGTCAGGACTCCCCGGTTCCTCCTCCCATTCTTTTCCCAACACCTCCATCTCCAGTCTCTCCTCAAGGTTCTCCCAGCCAGTCTGCACTCAGCCCCCCAGCTCACAAGCACACAAGCTGTGTGCGGAGCGCGCAAAAGGCAGGTTAATTGATTCCCTTAAGCCTGAGTGAGTTAGTCCTTGCAGAGTGGGAGGTGTGTTATCACCGGGGCTCCACCGGCCGCTGTCTCAGTTCTCTTCACAAAGTTTTCCTCACCAATCTTTTCCCAGGCACCATACCACCCTGCTGCCACCTCTACCCAGAGATCAAGGAAGGCAGCTGCCACTGCAATTTTTGCGTTGGCCCTTTAAATGTGTCTTTGCATCCCCAGCCACCTGTCTCTGGCAGAGAGCACCTCTAAGCTTTTTAGGGTTGCGTTTTGTCTGTATTTTCCTGGTTTTAGCTACTGTAATTTAGAGGTCCCTGTTTATGATTCAGACCCTGTTCTTCTCAGGGGGAGCTAACTGGCCGTTTCAATGTCCCTCTGGTGCTAGTGCCTGTGGGCACCCAGCCCACCCTCTCGAGCCTCCACCACACTTCTCACCCATTGGGGTGTGTGAGAGTTGAATCCACTGTCTGTCCGCGGCTCCAAGGCTCCTCTCCCACTATAGTTCCATTGCTTTCCAGGTGATTACTCCATTATTTAGTCGCAATTCCATTTTGGTCTTGGGAGGAGGAGGTCGGCGTGACTCCCATTCACTCCTCTGCCATCTTTTTCGGGTCTTGTTTTCTTATCTACTCAGTCACCCTGTGTCTTTTGATGGGAGCATTTAATTCACTTATATTTACAGTAATTATTGATAGGTATGTAGTTATTGCCATTTTATTATTCATATTTTACCTTTTTTTCTTCTTCTTAAACATAACATTTTTGTACTACTGGTCTGGTGGTGATGAACTCTATTAGCTTTTCCTTTTCTGTGAAGCTATGTATCTGTCCTTCGACTCTAAATGATGGCTTTGCTGGGTAACCCTTAGGCTTCTTATCCCTACAACTTGGTTCCTGAGGTTTTTCTACAGAGACTTCAATGAGGAAGTCCACCTCACTTTTCTACTTCAATCACTCTTTTACTTATGAGTTAAAACATTATGATACCATTAAAGACAAATTTTAAAGAAAAGGTTTGTCTCATATGTCTTCCAGTCTTGACTTCCTTGCATTCATAGTGTAATCACGGTGTACAGTTAATTTAGTATCTGTTTCTAAATATAGGTTTTTTCCCCCCTGATCACATGGCTCAGCTGGTTAGAGCATTGTCCTGATACTCCAAGGCTGTGGGTTCGATCCTTGGTCAGGGCACATGCAAGCATCAACCATATTAATGCATAAATAAGTGGCACAACAAATTGATGTTTCTCTATCTCTCTCTCTCTTCCTCGCTCTCTCTAAAATCAATAAATAAAAAATATTAAAAATAAAAGATTTTTTTAGAGTATTTTCAGATTCATAGTAAAATCAAATGTAAAGTACAAAGATTTCTCATATACCTGCTACCCCTATACATAGCCTCTCCCATGGTCAACATGGCATATTTGTTACAATCAATGAACCTACATTGATAGATCATAATCACCCTGGTGACCATTTTTTACTTGACATGTTGTTAATAATTTTCCCTGTTATAACACACTCACAATGATGTTTCTGATGGTTATCTAATATTCCCTGAGCACCCTGCCTGACATGGACTAGTTTAGAAGGGAAGCATTCCTGCCTTTTGGAAAGAACCATGGTTTACTGTTGGAGTTTGGGACATAGTTAAACACTGACATTTGGGACATGAAAAGCACTCAGGAGTTTCTAGGCATCTTCTGATATGAAATTCTTCAAAAGTGTTATCATCTTGAGATGATAAAAAAAGGAAAGGGAGCCGAGCAGTAGCAAGTTCACTTCTGCACACCCAAGTTTCCGCTTGGTGCTTTTGTGTCCTCCTCTATGGATCCATAATTACCTGCTTCTTGCAGACTAGGAAGCTGAAGTTGAAACAGAAGATTTTTTGGGTTTAATGAGCAAGTTAGTGACAGAGTCAAGATTTAAATCTAGGCTTGTTATACTCCAGACACCCTGCTTTTGCTTGTTTTGTCAGGGTGCTCCACCAAGGAAAGCTGTTGATTCTTTTAAGACTACCAGTTAAGTCTACAAAGAGATTCCTGGTCATGATGTTTCTCCTTAGATTTTATTAAGTAAAAAGGAGTACAGGTAATATAGAGAATTGTGCCCTTCTTTGTGTACTAACTAAAATAATATCCATACCCCATTAGTTGTTAACTAGTCAAATACTTATTGAGAACAGAGGCAGAATAACATTGTAAGTGACAATACAGGCCTGGAATCAGGCTACTTGCATTTTACCCTCTATGGGTCTTGTTTTCCACACCCATATAATAATAATAATAAATAGTAATAATAACTGTACTTGCCACATAAGGTTGTTGTGAGGATTACATGAGAGAATTCATTAACAATTGTTATTGTTAGTATAATTGTTGAAGCTGTTGCTATTAATCCCTTGGTGGTGGTGTTGACTTCGTTGGCATTGTTGTCCACATTGTTGATATTGGGGGCACTGGTGCTGATGATGTTGATGTCAGCACTGTCTATATTTTTGACTTGTTGACATCCGTCTTAACTTCATGTTGATGTTGTTACCTTTGATGTGTTTGACATTGGTATTAACTTCTTGGTAATTTAATGACAGTGTTGGCATTAGTGTTGATGTTGACATTTTCAGTGTTGCCATTGTTATTAACTTGCTGATTTTGTTGACACTAGTGTTAATTTGTTGACATTGTTGTTGCTGACTTGCTATTGGCTTCTTCTTCTTCACAAGGTGGCTCACTTGGTCCTCAAGGCTCATGCCAGAGCTTGGCACCTCTACAACAACCACCATCGGCCACAGCAGCAGGGGCGTGTGGGCATTGTGCTGAACTCAGACTGGGCAGAACCCCTATCCCCAGGGAGGGCTGAGGACCTTAGTGCCGCTGAACGCTTCCTGCAGTTCATGCTGGGCTGGTTTGCACACCCTATCTTTGTGGATGGAGACTACCCAGCTGCCCTGAGAACCCAGATTCAACAGATAAACAAACAGTGCAGCAGTCCTGTGGCCCAGCTCCCTGAATTCACCGACGCAGAGAAGCAGCTCCTGAAAGGCTCTGCTGATTTTCTGGGTCTGTCCCATTACACTTCCCGCCTCATCAGCAAGGCCCAGCAAGACACCTGCATCCCCAGCTATGATACCATTGGAGGCTTTTCACAGCATGTGGACCCCACTTGGCCCCAGACTTCATCCCCTTGGATTCATGTGGTACCGTGGGGTATAAGGAGGCTGTTGTGGTTTATATCCTTGGAATATACAAGAGGAAAAGTTCCAATATATGTGGCTGGAAATGGCATGCCCATAGGCGAAAGTGAAAATCTCCTTGATGATTCCTTGAGAGTAGAATACTTCAATCAATATATCAATGAAGTGCTCAAGGGTAAGAACAATGGATATGCTGGTGATTGAAAGGTGGGAAGTGCATCTTAAAGCCTTCACAGTTTTGTCTTATGGGACAAAGACAATCTCCCAAGTAAATGAAGCTAAAAAGTAGTATTGGTAGTAAGAGTATGGTCCTTCACGTCAGCCTCCTAACTCTCTCCCTCAGAGACCTCAAGTCTTTCTTTGCTCCAGTGTTCTTAGTCCCTAGAATGCCTGCCTTATAAATCCTGCCCATCTGAGTCCTATTCACTCATCAAGCCTCATCATCTTTTAATATATTTATGTGACAAATATTTATTAGTTGCCTATTATGTGTCAGACATTGTGTAAGACGGTAGGGGTACAATAATGAACAAAAAGTGTCATTGCCCATTGAGTACTCACAGTCTACAGAGGGACAAGGACAGAAAATTGAAACATAGGGTGATAATGGCATTGCAGGATGGTATGAGAACACTTCAGATAGGACTCCAACCCCTTAAATCTCCCTTCATTGCTCCAGCCACATTGATCTTCATCTCCTTTAGTGGGCTATAAAAATATACAACCCACAGTATTCACTTTGAGCCAATTAATTCTTACCTACAGTCTCATTCTTATATAACATACCATTTCATAAGTCTTTTTTATTCCAAGTAAAAAGGAATGGCAAATAGGTTTCATCTCATACATCAGTCCTAATCAGTTGAGAGTAGCTAGTTTTCTGCCTAGAGGGCATGAAGAGAAGATTTCAAAGCCTTGTCTAGATTCAAAGAGGAAGAGTTGATAAGTGATACTTGCCCTGGGCACTGAAATGAGGAATGGAGACACAACCCACTGAGGGGAGAACAGACACCCTCTCTTATTCTTCACTTGTGCTCTTCTCAGCATCAAGCTTACAATTCTATAATCTTCATAATCTTGGAATCCATTAAAGACTTGACTTCAAGTGATCCTTGACACAGCTGTATGCTTTCCAGCTGCCCTGAGATGTTAAATGATGGGCCTGAACATCCTGTGGGTGGAGCCATAGGCCTTTCTACTTCTGGCTCAACTCCACTCTACCCTGTAACCTACGAGGCTTTAATTCATCTTTATGTTCCCAGAGCTTGGCACATCCTGGAGACAAAGTAGGTGCTAACTGAATTACTTATTGAAGCAATGTGTAGGAACTTTTCCTGCCTCTTATTCAATCAATGTTTGTTGAGAGGCTGTGTGATTTGATAGAAACAAAGATTAATGCTTTGCTGACTCCCAGTTGGAGCCCACAGCCATTGTCTTATTTTAGCTCTGGTTCTTGGTTGACTTTCTGTCTTTACTTTCTCATAGTACTGGAGTCTAGAAATCTGATATCAAGATGTCAGTAAAAATGTTCTTCCTCCAAATGTTCCAGGGGAGAATCCTTCCTTGCTTCTTGCAGACTCTGTTGGCTTCCAGGAATTTCTTGGCTTGTGGCTGAATCACTCCAATCTCCTCTGTGTCTCCTAAGGATGCCGGTCATTGGGTTTAGGGCCAACCTGGTTAATCCAGGATGTTCTCATTTTAAGACCCTTAATTTTATTACATCAATAAAGATCCTTTTTCCAGTAAGGTTACATTCACTGGTACCGATTGTTAGGACTTAGACATATCTTTTGGAGCTGGAAATGGCCCATTCAACCCACTGCACCAGGGAATATATTTCTTTAGGTTTCCTGGCCCGCCTCTCTCTCTCTCTCTCAACATGGAGTGTGTGATCATTGTCAATATTGCTAGACATAAACCAGGGGTGAGGGGGGGAAGCACTTTTTAAAAGATTAAATGGTTTTTGTATTCTATATAAAATCAAGGAGTCCTGATATTAGCAGATGGGGCACATTTTCTCCATTATTTATTTTAAGGCAAGGATGCTCCTTTGGATTGAGAGTTATGGCCACAGGTGTGGCCTGATGTTTTGTGGGGATCTTATAGATTTTCTTTATTCATTGTGAGGAAGAAAAAGGGTTAATGTTTTTGGAGTAACCCAAGTTACCTCCAAAACTTTTATGTCCAAAGGAAAACCTGTTCAAAGCAAACTAACAGAGACTTTAAAATAATACTATTTTTGTTTTTTCCCACAGCTGTCAAGGTGGATTCAGTGGATGTTCGTTCTTACGTTGCTCGTTCCCTCATCGATGGCTTTGAAGGGCCCTCTGGTTACAGCCAGAGGTTTGGGCTGCACCATGTCAACTTCAACGACAGCAGCAAGCCAAGGACTCCCAGGAAATCTGCCTATTTTTTCACCAGCATCATTGAAAAGAATGGTTTCCTCACCAAAAGCATAAAAAGACTGCCACCACCCAGTACAGCAAACTTCCCCCCTAAAATCAGAGCCTTCACTTTTCCATCTGAGGTGCCCTCCAAAGCTAAAGTAGTTTGGGAGAAGTTCTCCAACCAACCCAAGTTTGAAAGAGATTTGTTCTACCATGGCACATTTCGGGATGACTTTCTGTGGGGTGTGTCCTCATCAGCCTATCAGATTGAAGGAGCTTGGGATGCTCATGGCAAAGGCCCCAGCATCTGGGATAACTTTACCCACACACCAGGTAGCAATGTGAAAGACAATGCCACTGGAGACATAGCCTGTGACAGCTATAACCAACTAAATGCTGATCTGAATATGCTTCGAGCTTTGAAGGTGAAGGCCTATCACTTCTCTATCTCCTGGTCTCGGATTTTCCCAACTGGGAGAAACACTTCTATCAACCATCAGGGTGTTAATTATTACAACGGGCTGATCGATGGCTTGGTGGGAAGCAACATCTCTCCCATGGTGACACTGTTCCACTGGGACCTGCCCCAGGCCCTCCAAGATATTGGAGGCTGGGAGAATCCTTCCTTGATTGAGTTGTTTAACAGCTATGCAGACTTTTGTTTCCAGACTTTTGGTGACAGAGTCAAGTTCTGGATGACCTTTAATGAGCCCACATACCAGGCATGGTTGGGCTATGGCTCAGGGGATTTTCCCCCAAATGTGAAGGATCCAGGCTGGGCACCTTACAAAATTGGTCATGCAGTCATCAAAGCTCATGCCAGGGTCTATCACACTTATGATGAGAAATACAGGCAAGAGCAGAAGGGGGTCATCTCTTTGAGTCTCAGTGCACAGTGGGCAGAGCCCAAGTCACCTCATGTCCCAAGGGATGTGGAGGCAGCTGACCGAATGCTGCAGTTCTCCCTGGGCTGGTTCGCCCATCCCATTTTCCGAAATGGAGACTATCCCGATGCCATGAAGTGGAAAGTGGGGAACAGGAGTGAACTCCAACATTTAACCACATCCCGTCTGCCAAGTTTCACTGAGGAAGAGAAGAAGTACATCAAGGGCACAGCTGATGTGTTCTGCCTGAGCACCTACTCCTCCAGAATTGTGCAGCATACAACACCCAGGTTAAACCCACCCTCCTACAAAGATGACCAGGAGACGATTGAGGAGGAGGACCCTTCATGGTCTTCCACAGCCATGAACAGAACTGCTCCCTGGGGGATGAGAAGACTGCTCAACTGGATCAAAGAAGAGTATGGTGACATCCCCATTTACATCACCAAAAATGGGGTGGGGTTGACAAATCCGGAGGAGGAAGATACCAGTAGGATATTTTACCACAAAACCTACATCAATGAAGCTTTGAAAGGTATTTGAGGGTTCATGGTCCCCTTACAAAATCTTCCAACATCCATATGTCATGTGCCTGAAATGACTTGATAGAATGGATCACAAACCATCAACAAGATTCTCTCTTATGTGCTAACTCCATAATTCTTCCCCCCTCTGGAGTGGCAGATCCCTTTGGGAATCTGAAAAAAAAAAAAACTATTGTCATCTCCCCAAGTGGACACACACACAGTCCCCACAAGACTGTTTCATGGGTCTGTTCATGTATCATTGAGCAACTACTGCGTGACAAGTTTTATTCTAAGTGATGGGGAAACAGCAGTTAACAAAACATAACTTTCTGCTGATGGGTTCCATGCAACCCCAGAGCAAGAAACTGTTCTCCAATTCACATTTGTGCTTAACTTCCAAAGTGGGCTGAGGCTCTTGAATTTGAAACACATCCTTTTACCCCAACAAAAGAATTTGATTTTGCAAAGATCAGTCATTAATACATGTTTGGGGGCATCAGTCCTGGCCAAAACAAAGACACAAGGTGATCTGTCTATCAGGGCTACATGACTAGTATGTAAAAGGTGATTTAGGACTACTGTCTTGATTTTGAGGTGCCAGCACTTGCCTGGGCTTTGGGGGTCCCTGCCATCCTGAAGTAAAGCTCTCTCTTTCCCTTTGGAATGTTCCCAGCCTACAGGCTCGATGGTGTAGACCTTCGAGGGTATGCCGCATGGTCTCTGATGGACAACTTTGAGTGGCTGAATGGCTACACGGTCAAGTTTGGGCTGTACCATGTTGATTTCAATCATGTGAACCGGCTTCGCACAGCCAGAGTCTCTGCCAGGTACTACACAGAGGTCATCACCAACAACGGCATGCCACTGCCCCAGGAAGATGAGTTTCTCTATGGTCAGTTTCCCAAGGGTTTTATCTGGAGTGTGGCTTCCGCTGCATATCAGGTGAGGAGTTCAGGGCAGTTCAGCAACATCATTTGCATACATACTATATGCCAGGCTCTGGGCTCTGTGCTGGGGAGGGCGGGCGTGAGCAGGGGATATTCATAGACCGTGGGAGGGAAGTGCAGGATGCCATCTGGGGAATGCTGCAAGTCCTCTTCCAGGAGATGGGTGTTTGCAGGCAAGATGGTGCAGGTGGAGCCTGGGCAGAAACACTTAGCAAAAACATGCAAATATGAAGATTCTTTCCTTTATTTCTTTTTTTTTAAGATTTTATTTATTTTTAGAGAGGGGGAAGTGAGAGAGAGAGGGAAGAAACATCAGTGTGTGGCTACCTCTTGTGTTCCCCCTACTGGGGACCTGGCCTGCAACCTAGGCATGTACCCTGACTGGGAATGGAACCACCGACCCTTCGGTTCACAGGCAGGCACACAAACAACTGAGCCACACCAGCCAGGGCTCTCCCTCGTTTCTTACCTCGTCTCCTCCAAGCCAGCAATATACTCAACATGGCTACCATGTGGGTTTCTCTGGTATCTTCACAACATACCATTGCCTTATACATGCCAAATGAAGCTTACTGATACAGACAATATGAGGCTTTTGGGGCTTTTTCCCCCCAGAAAAATAAAAGAGAAAAAGCAAAGAGGGACTTGCTCAGGCACAAGGTACGGCTCCCTGCTTTACTCCTTCTGCCTCTGTTTATTTCCTCTGACACAGGCGTAGGGGCTCTGTATCCTCAGGGTGGCACTTGGGCAGGTTGGGGACAGGAGCTGACCTGACTCTGGGTGTGCTCAGCCCTTGAGTTTTTTCTAGATGACCATAGTTGCTGAAAATATTTTTGAGGTGGATGAATGTTAGCTACCCAGATGACCACACTACCAGGTAATAATGAATTCTCAGGCCAAATTCTGCCATAGACAGACATTTATTACCTAAACACACAAAAACTGTTTGTGTAGCAGATTGTGTGGACTGGAGGAAACCCCAGTTCTTGGCCCTGTTAGGTGCCCTGGCCAACACTTCACATGAAAGGTTCACTTGAGGAAATACCAAGATTTCAGAGGCAGGGTTCTGTTACTCTTATTTCAGGCAAACAGGATGCTCTGTAGCAGGGTTTCTCCAGTGTCGCCTGATTGACATTTGGATGGATAATTCTCTGTCCTGGGCACTGTAGGAGGTTTAGCAGCATCACTGGCCTCCACCCACTGGATGCCAGTCTGCTTTTCCCCCAGTTGTAACAAAGAGAAATGTCCCCAGACATAAATTCTCCTGAGGAAAAAATAGCCACTGGGAACCATAGCCTCACTGGGTTACAGCTAGACCCAGGAAGGGGTAGGGATTTGTTCTGGGGTGCAGGCTGCAGGCTTTGCTGGATTCTTAAACCCTATTCTTGCAAGGGCAGGGAGAGTCTTGAAAACATTTTAGTCAACCCACATCTTGAATGATTAAATTGGTGCCAGTGAGCACCGATTTCTATTCATTATGGCAGTCAGCAGACACAATTCCCATCCCACCATTTGTGACGTTGAATATTCTAATTAGCAAAGTGTGTGGTATGAATCAAGAATGGATGAGAAGTGCCTATAAAGCAGGCTTTCTGATTAGATGCGATCCGTGTATTCTTTTTAAAGCCTTTTAATTGGAAATCTTTTTAAACATAGAGAAAAATTGCAAAAATAGTAGAAGACTCCCATATACCCTTTTCCCATATCCCTCATCCCTCAACTATTAATATTTTACCATTTACCTTACTCTCTCTTTCTGTATGTATATAATATGTATGTGTGTATGTGTATATATATACGTTTTATACACACACACACACACACACACACACACACACACACGAAACTGACTTTATCACCTGAACAAGAATGTGTCTACCAGGTTTCTCTATCATAAAATTAGTAACTATTTTATAGTTATAAGTACTTTATGGTAAGCTACTTGGAGACTATATAAATATCCTGTTCCTCATCAAATTTCACCCACTAGTTTTAGTAACTGTTGATAATTTTTGCCTGAATCAGTTATTGCTATGATAGTTGACAAATGGTGATTTTCTAATTTCATCATTCCTTTACATTTATGTGGCGTTCAACAGAAAGGTCGAGCTTTGTCTTTTCTCCTACTTATTTATATTTTATCTATATGTAAATATACATTGCTGCATAGCATCAGTATGGTCTCATAAAGCCCTATGGTATTTAATGGGTGAAACTTTTGCTATCATGTGTTTAGATGCTGAAATGGGCCCACATTTTGCCCGGCAGAATGCCTTTTAGCCTGATCCCGTGTCCTTCTGACATGGCCCCTCATGCTCTGAGCACTTCTCTAACTCTTTCCCACACAAGGTGTTCCTGGTTCATTTTGTACCTTTTCTGCCCTGGCCCTGTAATCAGCCATTTCTCTAATGAGCCCTGGTTCCTTTTATTGGATAAGGGCATTTAGAAACCAAGATGTAGGTGCTAAGTGTGCTCACTGCTGCTGGGTGTCATTACTTCTAAACCCTAAGTGGACAGAGCTAGAAGTATTTGTATGTACACACACATACACATATACATGCACTTACCTTTGCTTCTACATCCACCTTCATCTCTGTTAGTTCACACTGATACCTCCAATTCCAATCCAACTACACAGGGTTAAGGCAAGCTTTCCTATTTTTCATATTTGTAGTTCTTTCTCCAACAGTGAGAAACCTAGCTCCTAACATCCTCAAAATAGTCACTTATTTGCTCATGCACCTGCATTAACTAATCTCCCAAACACTAAGGCCCTCTTCTCCACCCAGACCACCCACACAGGGTGTGTGCTTGCCATTCTCACAGGGCATGTGCTCGACAAGCCTTGGTAAAAAGACCACCCTACCTTAGCCACACAGAGTCATATAATATCACTCTATGTGTGCTGAAGTGTTTTAAAGTAAATTACAGAAATTGTTCCTGTTGGTCTAGCTAAGCCTGTGGTTAGTTGCTTGCCCAGTGGCTTATGGTCAGTTTCTCCTTAAGGTAGGTGGGAGGACCAGAGGGAAGCTCAGAAAGTGACACACGCCCTGGTTAGAAATTCCACCTCCACACCTGGCATCACTGGGATTTTGGGGGCCTTGATTAGGCTTGGGGCACATGGAACTGTTCTTTTAAAGGTTTAGGGAGCACTCACCACACACCAGACACTGTTATGTTAACTAGTGGGACACAAAGATGAAGAGACGCAATGTCTACACCTCACAGCCTAATGGGAAGCCCATCAGCAAGCCCACAGCTGTGTAATGCAGCACAGCAGGGCTGTGACGTCCAGAAAGCAGGTACAGGAAGCTGCTGGAGTGTAGAAATGGGAAGGAGGCCATGGAAGGCTCCCAGTGGAGATGGTGCAGCCTTATGTCCTGCCCGGGACTTTCCTGGGGCAGAAAGGAACTCTTGAGGGCTTGACTGCATGACTTAAATAGACCATGTCTTGTCATCTTGAGATCGAAGGTGCATGGAGAGCAGATGGCAAAGGACTCAGTATTTGGGACATGTATTCTCATACACCACTGAATATTGAGAACGACGACAACGGAGACGTGGCCTGCGACAGTTATCACAAGATTGCTGAGGATGTGGCTGCCCTGCAAGACCTGGGTGTGTCCCACTATCGCTTTTCCATCTCTTGGCCTCGTGTCCTCCCAGATGGAACCACCAAGTCCATCAGTGAAGGGGGCCTGAACTACTATGTGCAGCTCATTGACGCACTGCTGGCCGCCAACATCAAGCCCCAGGTGAGGTGGGGCCCTGGCCGGGCTCCATGTCGGGAGCCAGCTGGGCTGGGGAGCACATTTATCTTGTAAACAAAAGCTCTTTCCAAATTTAAGTTTTGAATTGTTAACAAATTCACATGGAGAAGAATTTCAAAAGCACAAGGGAGTCTGCAGTGTAGCGTTTCCTTCCATCCCAGATCCTCAGCTATCCTGTATGGAAGCCAGTAGGTGTGTATATGTGTATGTATATTCCTTTCCCACTCTTTATTCATAACAGTAAGATTGTTGCTTTTATTTAACAATATTTCTTACAGATATTTTCAAATCCATACATAGTTTCCTCATTTTTTTTTGTTATGTGGAATTGTTTGTATCTTACTTCTCTAATTAGTTCCCTGTTCATGGGCACCTTCTCTGTGACCTTTCTGCTCTTCTGCCATCATAACCAGTACTCCGATGAGTAACCACAGACATACTGTCAAACACATACGTAATTTACCTGTGGGTTAAGGTCCTAGGGGGAGAACTGCTGGGGCCAAAGTGTATATATTCTTAAGCCATGAGTTATTGTGAAAAGTACAGAAGCTCATTTGTGGGCTTATTCTGCTACCACCAAAATTGTGAGACTTTATGTGAGCGTCTAAGAACACATTTCCTTTCCCTGGGCCACTTATGATGGCGCACAGGAGGGCACGAGTTACTTGAAGCTTGGTGTCTCCTCTGTAGTCACGCTTGGGGATTAGGCACCACAGCCAGAGCACAATCCCCACGTTACGGCCCCCTTCTTCCCTCCCCACCTGTACCTGGGGAAAGAGCGCTCTCAGGACTTCTCCTCAGGAGCCTAGCAGTGACGGAGCGTGAGTGCTAGGCATGATGGGGGAGAAGGCGGCCAAGGGGCTGTCCTGCAGGACCCCGCAAGCTGGATGGACAATGAGGTTCATTACCTACCACACTTCAGAGCAAGGCCAGAGAGCACATGACTCAGAGACAAATGATTTTATACCTCCTGAGGGCAAGGAGACAGGACAGAAAGGAAAAGTGCCTGGCTCAGGAGCTTCAGGGCAGTGTGGGTCTCACAAGGAGGAGCATTTGGATGGGTGGCCGTGCAAGGGAAGGGTGTTTCAGGCAGAGGGAAAGACTTCAACCTGGGCTCTCAATGTTTAGGGGCCCAGTGCAGACCAAGGACAGTGGAGACCACAGCTTGGCCAAGGTGGGGTATGTCAGGGGCATCGAGGGGAAGACCAAGAGAGAAAGGCTACCCCATCAACATGGCCAGAAGTGCTACCTGCCAGCAAACGGTTCCCAGCTGCACAGGAGGAAGCTCCAGACACAGTAGATGATGGCCCTGGGGGTGTCCCTTTACAAGTAAAATGGCTCCATCCTCCCTGGACCCTCAGAATCTCAGGCTCTCAGCATTCAGCCCAGGCAGGTTGTGATCCGAGTACACCCATCGCTAACACTGAAGAGCGGTCAGTGGGTGCCTCTTGCTCCAGGCCTCAGAGCGATTCCAGGACATGGAGGCCTTCGTGCCTGCGCCCAGGGTGGGAGGTTCAAACCTGGGGCTCAAACCCAGGCTTCACTGATGCAAATGTGTGAATTTTTCGCTCTTCAAACTGCTGCCCTCCCCCTGCCACCAGAGAACTTTGGACCATTTCTTGTCTGATCATTCGTTCTCAGCTTTAGCAGCAAACATTTGTGCTGGTGCCTATGTAGCACCAATGCCTTCCTATGAAAAGCAGCCTGATGGATCTGCTGACCTTGCTTCCTCACAGGTGACCATTTACCACTGGGACCTGCCCCAGGCCCTCCAGGATGTTGGAGGCTGGGAGAATGAGACCATTGTACAACACTTTAAGGAGTATGCCAACGTGCTCTTCCAGAGGCTGGGGGACAAGGTGAAGTTTTGGATCACGCTGAACGAGCCCTTCGTTATCGCTTACAAGGGCTATGGCTACGGGACAGCAGCTCCAGGTAAGGTCCCAGGCCCAAACCATCAGCTCTTTGGAGTGTGGCATTCTTAGCTCCTGTGAGACATGAAATCAGGCAGCATTGGAGGAGTAGGCCAGGAGGGCCCTGTGGAAGTGCCTCCGAATCCCTGCCTCCAGCTCAGCGCTGCGTAACAGGCAGCACATTTTCCCTCTGACACCACTTTAGCTGAACATGAATTGCACATGTCTGTGTCTCCAATGGCTTCATTTCTTTGCTCTGAGGCTCTGACATGCTTCAGATGGGGAGCTCCCTGAGCCAGGGACACAGACTAATTGTTGTAAGAAAGAACTATTCATTCATCAGGCTGTACCAGACCACAGTCTGTTTTCTGCAACTCCAAAATCCCAAAGTTTTAGATAACTGATTTGGCGGACCTGAGTTCAACCTGATTTGAACCAATAGGAGGCTGCTTGTGGTCTTTATCCCGCTTAAGTTCTGTCGCAGGCATGTTAGTGTCCTGGGGTACAGAGAGCTGTTCTGGGCCTGGCTTGGGTGACATGTAAACATGTTACATGCAATTTCTTACTTTCTAAGACAAAAAAAAAAAAACAAAAAAACAAACCCATTTTTGTTCCAAACGCATCTGACTAAAAGCTTTGAGTAAGAGATGGTGGACCTGCCCTTGCCCCTTCAGAACCATCCGGTATCCTTTTCTCTAGTTCTGAGCTTAAGAGACATTTGTGTTCACCTGCATGACCCTCGTCATCATGTGTAAAAGCTGGAAAGAATCACAGCGATATTGAGAGTCACTGCCAGATGTCTCTCCCGTGGGTCCTTGGTAGGCACTGTGGTTTACCATCCCTTCAACACATGAGAGGGGGCCTCATAACGTTGGCTCTCAAGGAATCTCTCTCAGCTGCTTCTATCAGCCATGGTCTCCAACCTCTTTCCTTTCACAGCGGGTTCCCCAGAGAGGGCCGGGATGTCAACTCCAGAGGCAGCTCTTCTGGGTGCTTTGTCTGAGATGTAGGAGCCACTCCTTGGGGGAGGGGTACAGAAACATGACATTTATCAAGTACCTTGTCTTTGCAGACAGTGCTGCTGGGAGCTCCATACACATCATTTCATTTCCTTCTCCTAAGAACTCCCAATTGCTCATTGTGCAGAAGGAAAAACTGAAAGGCTGAAATACTCATCCGAAGTTGCCTGGCCTGCTAGTAAGAAGTAGAGCCAGGATTTAAATTCATTCTCCCTAACACTTAAATCTGCATTCTTCCTCCCAAACACGTAGCAGACATCTAGAGGCAGAGAGTGACACTCTTGGCCACACTGAGTCTTCGTTGACATCCATGTGTATGTTCCCAGGAATCTCTGTTAGGCCTGGCACTGGCCCCTACCTTGCTGGCCACAACCTAATAAAGGCTCATGCTGAGGCCTGGCACCTCTACAATGACATGTACCGCGCCAGTCAAGGTGGCGTAATTTCCATCACCATCAGCAGCGACTGGGCTGAGCCCAGAGACCCCTCCAACCAGGAAGATGTGGAGGCAGCCAGGAGATACGTTCAGGTCTGTTTTCCCTCTGGGCATTGTTTTTACTCTTCCCTGTTTTCCCCTCCTGTCTAATGAAAATAGAATTAGAAAGCAAAATAAAGTTTAGGATCTAGGTCCTGTTTTGCCATTTCGTGAACTTAATAATATCACTGACCTTTTTGGACCTTAGTTTTCTCATCTATGAAGTGGAGATGACCTACCTACTTCATAGGTTTGCTATGATGAAAGTTTTTTGGGGGTATCGTTTATGTCTGAAAAAATTATTTGTACATGTAGTCCTTGCTTAGTATAATATTGGCTTGAAGGTAACAAATAGAAATTCTTTCTCTTCAAATGTTGGGGTTGACTACAGCAGTTAATAGAGCTGGGCTGCAATGTCACACTCAACCTCTAGGTGTCACCATCTAATTTTATTTCCTCAGCCTCAGCATTCCTTACACTGAGAACTTTAGACTGTGAAACTCATTCATGTCCCTAATTTTCCCATTCCATGAGTTTAACATAAGGATGTGCATCTTTTGGCTGTGGAATTTTGCTCCCAGGAAGTAGAGACACTAGTAAGCTGGTGCCAACAACATGACCCACCCTCTTTAGTCTGGGCCCTGACAAGAGAAGAGAGAAAAAAATGGCCTGCTCATGACACAGTTTTTCCCTGGCTCCTGTTAATGCCTCTGAAAGGGTTAGAAGGCACCCTCTCCCAATTTTCCGTGTCAGGCAAGAAAGCAAGAGTATCTCCAAACTGGTCCCCATGTTTGGCTCTGCAGAGGAGCCTATAGACTGCAGCTTCTGGAGGAGATACCAAGGTTCACAAGACAACTTGACAAAGGCAGTCAGATTAACAAATGAAAATAAAATCTTGTTTTTTTTCTTTGCTTGCCAGCTGGGGAAAAATGTCTTAGAACAAAATTAATGTATCCTCCACTTTAGACTCACAGAATATATTGAATTAGAGCAATACTTTGTTTTCTGAAATCAAAATCCCAAACTTCAGGAAATGTTATGCTGTTGTCTCATTCAATTGAGACACTTGCTGGTGAACTGTGAAACTGCAGCCCAGGAATGACACACACGACCTATAGTAAAATGAGCATCTACAGAAGGGTCCACTGTTACCTCAAGATGCACGGAAGCCTCTTTGTCCAGAGTGTGTCCCAGCCTCATCTCTGACTTCTAAGAATGCAAGGCCCACCGTTGGGGCATCAGCTAGCAGGTGAGGGGAGGATGCAGAGAGAGGGAAGAAGCCTCTCAAGACCGCATCATCATAGCATTTAGAAGCCTTTAAAGTAAGAGTGGCCGTGACCTCATTCAAGAAAATAGATAAAAGGCTTCCAGCCAAGATAGAGGTGTAAATAGAAAACCTTTGCCTCCCCGTACAACCAAAAGGACAACAACAATTTAAAAACAAAGAACAACTAGAACTGCCAGAAAATCAAACTGTATGGAAGTCCAACAACCAAGGAGTTAAAGAAGAAACATTCATTCCCACTGGTAGGAGGGGCAGAGATGCACAGCCTGGGTGGAGAGGACACACAGCAAGGCAGCGGCTGGAGGACTAGGCAGGCAAGGCAGCAGCTGGTAGATAAACCAGGAGGAACAACAGGGGAACAAGACAGACCTCACAACCCAGGGTTCCAGGGTGGGAAAAGAAAGCCTCAAAACCTCCGGCTGTAAAAACCTACGGGGGCTGCAGCAGCAGGAGAAACTCCCAGCCTCACAGTAGAGATCGTTAGACCCACAGGGTCTTAGAACCAACAAAAACCCACCCATCTGGGAATGAGCACCAGAAGGGCCCAATTTGCTTGTGGGTAGCAGGGGAAGTGACTGAAAGCTACCAAGTGCAGAGCAAGCAGCACTGTTCCCTCTCTGACCCCTCCCCCACATGCAGCACAATAACCGAGCAAAGTGGGTTGCCCTGTCCTGGCAATTACCTATGACTCCACCCCTAAAAACGTAAAAAGCATGCTGAGACAAAGAAATATGGCCCAAATGAAAGAACGGATCAAACTCCAAAAATAGAACTAAGCAACAAAGATATAGCCAACCTATCAGATGCAGAGTTCAAAACACTGGTAATCAGGATGCTCACAAAAATGGTTGCATATGGTTGCAAAATGGAGGAAAAAGTGAAGGCTATGCAAAGTGAGATAAAGAAAAATATACAGGGAAACAACAGTGAAGGGAAGGAGACTGGGACTCAAATCAACAATTTGGAGCAGAAGGAAGAGATATACATTCATCCAGAACAGAATGAAGAAACAAGAATTCAAGAAAAACGAGGAAAGCCTGAGGAACCTCTGGGACAACTTTAGACCTTCTAACATCTGAATCATAGGAGAGCCAGAAGGAGACATGGAAGAGCAAGAAATTGAGAACCTCTTTGAAAAAATGATGAAGGAGAACTTCCCCAATCTGGCAAAGGAACTAGACTTCCAGGAAACCCAGGAAGCTCAGAGAGTCCCAAGGAAGTTGGATCCAAGGAAGCACACACCAAGGCACATCATAATTACATTACCCACAATTAAAGATAAGGAGAGAATCTTAAAAGCAGCAAGAGAAAAGGAGACAGTTACCTACAAAGGAGTTCCCATAAGATTATCAGCTGATTTCTCAAAAGAAACCTTACAGGCAAGAAGGGGTTGGAAAGAAGTATTCAAAGTCGTGAAAGGGAAGGACCTACATCCAAGATGACTCTATCCAGCAAAGCTATCATTTAGAATGGAAGGGCAGATGAAGTGCTTCCCAGATAAGGTCAAGTTAAAGGAGTTTATCATCACCAAGCTCTTATTATATGAAATGTTAAAGGGACTTATCTAAGAAAAAGATCAAAAGCTATAAAGAGTGAAATGACAACAAACTCACAACTATCAACTGAACCTAAAAACAAAAACATAAACAAACTAAGCAAACAACGAGAACAGGAACAGAATCACAGAAATGGAGATCCTATGGAGGCTTATCAGCAGGGACCAGGAGCAGAGAGAATGGGGGAAAAGGTACAGGGAATAAGAAGCATAATTGGCAAGTACAAAATAGACAGTGGGAGGTTAAGAACAGCATAGGAAATGGAGAAGCCAAAGAGCTTACATGTATGACCCACGGACATGAACTAAGGGTGGAGGATGCTGGTGGGAGGGGGTGTGCAGAGTGGAGGGAAATAAAGGGGAGAAAAAAATGGGACAACTCTAATAGCATAATCAATAAAATATACTAAACAAAAAGAAAGAAAGAAAGAAAATAGATACAAAGTTCCCATTTTAGGAATCGAATGCCCATGAACAACCAAACCATCCTTTGCCTGGCTGCTGAGACAGCCTTGCAGCTCAGCCCTCCCCAGAAAGTTTTGGGTGAGCCTTAGGTATGATGATGGGGAAGGACCTGCTTTGTGGTTAGAGAGGGAACTGCACCCTGGAGGCTTGTAGGGTCTCCCTGTCCTCTTTGGACCCTCCTAACGGCAGCACTGGCTGAGCCCTGGGCCAGTGCTCAGTCCAGCGCATCTCCCTTCAAACTGCCCCCAGTGGATCACAGCTCAGCACACCAGAGGAGTGGAGAGAGCTTTGGGTGCTTAAGCTGCTACATACAAACAGCCATGGAGGTGAAAGTTTAACAATGGGATTTGGAAAAAACAAGCAGAACAGAAACAGACTCGTAGAGACAGAGAACATTTTGTCAGTTGCCATATGGGAGTGGGGTTGGGGGATGGGCAAAGGGGAAGGGATTAAGATGTACAGATTGGTAGTTACAGAATAGTCATGGGATATAAAGTACAGCATAGGGAATATAGTCAATAATATTGTAATAACCACATGTGCTGTTAGATGGGTACTAGATTTATCAGGGATAACCCTTCATAAATTATATAAATGTCTAATCATGGGGTTGTACACCTGAAACTAATATAATATTGTACATCAACTGTAATTTAAAAATTAAAAAAATTTAAGTGGCGGCTACCAAATACCACCCCCCCCAAAAAAAAGAATAGGATCTGGGAAGAACGTGAAGTGCAAGGGGTGGGGTGGTCTGAAGGTCAGTGGCTTCTGAGCAAGGATGCCTACAGGTGCGCCCACTTGTTAATGCTGAGGCTGGCTGTCCCCTCACCCCACCTGCAGTTTATGGGAGGCTGGTTCGCACATCCTATTTTCAAGAATGGAGATTACAATGAAGTGATGAAGACTCGGATTCGGGACAGGAGCTTGGCCGAAGGCCTGAACAAGTCTCGGTAAGGTCCCAGTGCCCACACACTCAGCCAGGGGAGGGTTGGGGGAGTCTGGTCTGTGGGTTTGAACTGAGGCTCCTGGGTGGACAGCACAGTGGTGAGAGCAGCTGCTGGGGTCAGAGAGATGTGTTAGAGGCAAGTTACCGTATCTCTGAGCTTCCTTGCTCACTGGGGAGATTAAACATGATCGGGCATGTGAAGCTCTTAGCCCAGGACCTGCCACTGCTCTGTGCTTGACAAAGAACAGTTGCTATTATTTTACTGTTCTTCAGAACAGCCAAGAAATCTATCTCCAGGGCACCCAATTACCAACCCACTACCTCACTCCAAGGGCAAGTGCCCCAGCATATGCCATCCCATCCCATCCATCCCCTATGAGTGAATGTGGATCACAGTGGGTGATAGCCAGAGGATGCTTTCTGTCATTTGGCCAGCAGGTGGCACTGGTTTGCACAAAGCCACTCTACTTCCTGGCTCACCAGTGTTCTTGTTAAGGAAGTAATAACAGTATGAACAATAGCTAACTTGTATCCATCTTCTACTTGTCCTTCTATTCCTATCTAATGATGAGGCACAAATATTAGAGCAAAATCACCCAGCTATGAAATGATGGAGCTGGGATATAAAACCAGGCTGTCTGATTCCAGAGCCCACACAGGGTTTGAGTCACCCAGCTGGGATTGGAGGTATGGTATGTGGGTGAGGAGGGAATGACGTGGCCTTATGGAAACATATCCACAAGCTCCAAGGTAGCTCATGTACATAGCTCAAAAGCCCTTTGAGTCTTCCCCTCAAACTATCCCATACAGCCCAGCTGTAAGAATGAAATAATCCATCCCCCGCCCTGACAGCACACAGCTTGACCTGGTGGGGCCAAGTCCTGCTGAGCAGGCTGTGCCTGCAGGTGTGATCGGCCGACTCTGGTCTCCCACAAGCAAGTGCATTCCAGTCCATTGACACGACTTTGCTGAGTGCCCAGGTCAGATCAGGGCCCGGCCTGGCCCAGCAGAGTCCATGTAAAGAAAAGCTTCCAAATCTGTCTCCTCAAGTTGCCAACACACTGCCAGCTGGGTGGCCAGTAGCCCTCATCATTCCAGGGTGGGCCAGGTAGACCCAGGCGACTTCATGACAAGGCAGGACATCAGCTGCACTGGGCCTTGACAGTGAATAGCTTTTGGGAGAACAGAGGGCATTCCAGCCAAGGGGAAGCGCGTGAGCAATGGCCTAGCAGTAAGGAATGAGTGGGGCACGAGCAGCTGACGGCAGGGGCCAAGGCCATGTGACAAAGGGCCTGGAGGCCAGGTAGAGGGGCTCGGCTTTGATGCCATGGGCCATGAGGAGCCACTGCTGGCTCCTGAGCAGGGGAGTGACGGGCGTGACAGCACTGGGCTCTACTGTTCTCCCAGCAGTTTGAGAAACTTCAGGAGGGAAGGTTTCGATCCCTCATGTTAATGGCAGCAGGAAGTTCAGGTTGAAGGTGTCAGATGCCGAAGCAGGGGCAATCGCTAGGAACCCTAAACTAGCAGCACCAGGGTCCCCTTGTCAGAAGGCACATGTGGTCACATTTGGCTGAGAGGAAGCTGTAAGTGCTGTACACAAGTGTACATTAATCCAATTTTATAGGAAAGTCTCAGAGTACATGAAAAATGCTCTAGCAAATGTTTTTAAAAAGTACAGTGAAATCATGTGAGCAGAAAAGTTCAAATCTCAAAAGTTCAACAAATTTGTAAAAATATTTCCCCTACTAATAAGGATAAACTTTGGAAAAAAGAGGCAAACCTAAACAAACCACAACAAAGCAGAGTAACTTACAAAGGGCAGATTATGGAAGCATAAATTATAAAAGATATTATAGCCTGAGCTTTAATATTGTAGGCTGAGTCTTAAGATATGTATCTCAGACGTGTTTTTGATTTAAAAATCTATCACAGATGGTAAATACCAGATGTTACATGTTAATTTTTGAAGGAAATAAAACTGTGTGTGGGGGAGTGGGGGGGGGTGTCCCAGAAGGAGAGGTTTATAAAAGAGTAACTTGTAGTTTCATTTTGCCAACAGGAAAAGAGAGGGTCTTGTAACAACAGAGGGAAGTGAGGTTTGTGGGCTTTTAGGAGGAGCCTCAGGTACTTTTCAGCAAGAGCTGAAAGGGCCTCTCCTTGCTCCTGGCCAGCTGCACCTTAGTCACCCTTAGCTTACAGCGCTGCCCAACCCTGCCCTGGGACATTCTCCTTCCAAAACAGGACCCTCTCTGAACCCCCATACCGGTAATGGCTCCTTCCACCCAGGCTCCCGGAGTTCACAGACAGTGAGAAGAGGAGGATCAATGGCACCTATGACTTCTTTGGGTTCAATCACTACACCACTGTCCTGGCCTACAATCTCGACTATGACTCTGGGATCTCGTCCTTTGATGCAGACAGGTAAGATGGCCAGCAGGACCACCTGGAGCAACCTTTGGAAAAGACAGTAAGTTGCCTCTTTGCCCACCCCTTATTTCGAGGCCTGCACGGCCTCAGAAAACTGCCTCCTGATGCCGTACGTCCTGGGGCTTGTAAGATGAGCCCCATCTCCTGAGACATCTCCTCAAACCCCATGAGTGCGACAGCAATACAGGCTGGGGATTCTAAGATGCTTCCCATTGCGACGGACATGCTCTGAGTTTTTAAAAAATGTTTTTGAGATACATCTTTTTCTTCCCTTTTCCTTTTTTGTCAAATTTGTTTTACTTATCAGCTGTATTTCAGTTAAAATAACAACAAGGGCTTTTTATTCCTTATCTAAATAACGCATCTTTATTTGAGATGCATGACTCTCCAGACGTTTGAGCTTCTGTGCCTCCCCCAGCAGGGGCTCCTTTGGCACAAGCTGTTGCCCTCTCTCATCTATCACTGTAGAGAGCGCCAGGGTCTTGGGCACTTGCAGCAGGTCCCAGCCTACTGCTCCCTGTCATCACACAAATAAGTTGGTGCCTGTGGCACTGCCCAGACACTGGGGACTCAGGGAAGCCCGTCCTCTGAAGACATAAAGCTCACATCTCGCTGGAGACTGTGGCCAAGGAAACCCAGAGCCCTTTCACATCCAGCGTGAGGTGTGTCAGCACAGAGCCTGTGGAGGGCTGGGTCCATGAGTAAGACTATGCCACTGTACGTGTGGAAAGCTAATAGAACAGAATGCTTAAGTGACTTGTCCAGTTACTCCAGCATTGAGTAGTGCAACTAGAACTTAGGAAAAGAGAATGTTAGGCATTTGACTATTCTGGGTTTGCTTATCACTCTCAAGTCTAGACAAAACCTCATGTTTGTCCTACTATAAATCCTGTTGTCTTTAGTGTAAAGGGCCTTTAGGAATTTACAAAACAAGACCTAATCTTGTGTTTGAACTGGTAGGGGAGTTGCCTTCATCGCAGACCCCTCCTGGCCTGACTCTGGCTCCTCCTGGCTGAAGATGACACCGTTTGGCTTCAGGAGGATTCTGAACTGGCTAAAGGAGGAGTACAACAACCCCCCAATTTACGTAACAGAGAATGGAGTGTCCCAACGGGGAGAAGAAAGCCTCAACGATACTGCAAGGATCTATTACCTCCGCAGCTACATCAACGAGGCACTCAAAGGTATGACAGACCTACCCTTCCTCCCGGTGCACCCTTCACTGTGCAAATATGTGCTAACGTCTGCATTTCGGGTGGCATTGAATCCACACACCCTCTTAAGAGAGATGAGGCACCTGACTCCTGTTGGGTTTAGCTGTTCTCTGAGTTTTCTCCTTCCTAAATGAAAGCTCAGCAGGCAAATCCAGTTGTCCATTACAGCTAGACCTGAGTTCCTGGCCTCAGCCCTTTGCTCTCCTTGATTCCCACTGACGTCCCATGACCCTGCACTGCGGCGCCCTCCTGAGGACAGTCTGGGCAAGGGCCAGGAGGAAAGGGCGGGGTGGGGCTGGTGTCTGCAGGGTCTTTTGTTCCCCAAGCAAAAGTTTAAGCTCCTCAGCTCAGCAAAGCTTGGGATGAGACTATGACAAGGAAACAGTAATGCTGGTAAAAGAGAGTAAGAAAAATTTAAAAAGAGAATGAGCAATGGAGCAGCGAAGATGAATGATTAGAAAACCCTATTCCAGGTAAAATCTTTTCCAAGGGGCTTTTTTTTTTTTCTGTAAAGAGGAGCACGAGCCTACCCATGTTTCTGACTCCATTCAGGGCTGGGCCTTACTAGAAAAATGCCCCATCCACAGCTCCATCCACAGAGGACCAGGTAACAAATACTGCCTCCAGCAGATGGGCAGCTTCCACAAAAAGCTAAAAAGAAAAGCTCCCTTTGACCTGCAGGTGGGAACTAGGGGACAGGCCTGGCGGAAAGAGGTCTTATGAGGGAAGCTCACACCGGGGCCTTTGTTTGGACAGCTGTGCAGGATAAGGTGGACCTTCGCGGATACACTGTTTGGAGTGTGATAGACAACTTTGAGTGGGCCACAGGCTTCTCGGAGAGGTTTGGTCTACATTTTGTGAACTATACTGACCCTTCTCTGCCAAGGATTCCCAAAGCGTCAGCCAAGTTCTACGCCTCTATAACCCGGTGCAATGGCTTCCCTGACCCGGCAGCTGGCCCACACCCTTGTCTCCAGCCACAAGGTGAGATGTAGCTCTGGGATAGACTAAAGCCAGAGGGTGAGGGATGACAGAAGCCTTTTTCAGTGATTTCTTCTAGTTTATTACCCTCCTCTCAGCCTCTCCATTCCCTCATTCATTCAACAAATATTGTTTTCTTTCAGTGTTCTTAGGATGGAACAGAACTAACTCATGTTATACCTAGAAACTGTGAACAGCAAGTCTAGAGTCTTGTCCCAGCCCAAGCACTAACCTGCTGTGTGACGTTAAAGAAACCAGGCAAACGTTCTGGGCCAATGTGAGGATCAAATATAACAAATGAAAACACAGTGACTGGCATAATGTAAGATGCTCAATATTTGTTGAATGACTGAAAAAATATAAACTACTATACAAATGTAAGAGACAGTTATCCAATTTAGATTTGACTCTAACTGCTGAGAGATGTTTAAGAAGTAAAACTACTTAACTTCATTCAAAGGCTCATAACTCAGTGAAAGGATGTGTATCTTAGCGATGCTCTCACTCTGAGTGCCTGTATAGAACTTCTATAGTCTGAGGATCTGGCTTGGGCCTACTATATAGGTTTACACAAGTCCCATAACCACATTGCACTAGTGTGTAAACTGCCCTCTGTTGTCCTCTCCTAGATGCTGGACCCACCATCAGCCCCAGGAGAGAAGAGGAAGTTCGGTTCCTGGGGCTAGCACTGGGTGCATCAGAGGCCCAGACAGCTCTGTACACACTCTTTTCTCTTGTGCTCCTTGGAGTTTGTGGTGTGGCATTGCTGTTGTACAAGTACTGCAAGCGCTCCAAGCAAGGGAAAACACAACCAAACCAACAGGAATTGAGCCCCATTTCTCCATTCTGATCACAAGTTGCCACCTCATTCAGTTCTGCAAAATAAGCCAGGTTTCTTTGTATACTTTTGCCACCCACAAAGCTTCTTAGCATTTTATATTCTCTCCATACCAGACTTCTTCAGAAAGGCTTTCTGTAGTGTTAGAGACTAATCTTAAAGGATTTCAGGTCCCTAATTAAGATGAAAGTATCTGCATCTTGCCCCAGTAGCAGGAATTCATTTGGGCATTAGAAGACCTTGCAACTGGCTCTTGTGGAAATGTGCAGGTACTGAACTCTTCTGTTGTTCTGTGAGCCACTTAACTGGGCAGTTTCAAGTTTAAGAAATTTTAAAGATAGAAACAGGAGTAAAAACCATAGCAATCCTTTTTCGGCTAAATGAAGGCCATTGCGTACATGGACTGCAAAGTCATCTCCTGCCCTCTTTTCCAGCTCCCTCCCAGCCTCATACCTTGTGTTTCTCAGAAAATAAAAATGGTAGCGTGAACTGTGTCCTATCTTGAGTGATTCTCCCTGAGAAAGTAGGTTCCACATAAGTTACAAAGTCACACAAGCCATTTGGGGTGTCTAAGCTTTCCCACCAGACCAATGCTTTTTGCTTTTTATATATATTCCCTGGGACAGAGAACCATAACAAAGAGATGACCTGCGAATCCTTTATTCCAACCACTGCCACCTTTTACGTCCTTCCTGCCTCTGCCATGTGTAGGCAGAGTTTTAAGGACCCAATTATGGCCTTCAAGGCCCATGTGATCTCACCTGGGTTTACTTAGCCTGTTTCCCTTGTTCCTCTCAATCTAAACTGCATCAAAGCTCTTGACTATCCCACTCTTCTTTGTGTCTTTGCAAATACTATTACTTCTACCTAGTATGCCCTTTCTTCTGAAAATGCTTTAAGTTTCAGCTCAAGTATGTTATTTCCCTCATGGAGAAAGCTGCCCTGAATTCCCCCAGGCAGACACTACTTTGACTTTGCTTGTAAATACCCACTATGACCACATTTCACTGGAATTGAAAATTACCCTACTATCAGCGTCTTGAGGTCAAAGGGCCATGCCTCATTGTCCCTAGTAAGCACATTTTGGAGACAGGGCACAGAAAGCACACCTGCCCCCTTTTGTGTGTTTATTTATAGAACATCCAAGTAGTGGTGGGAGCACAGAAAGCTGTGGTTTTATCAAGTCACCTTGAATGTGCTGATATGACAGTCTCACTGAGGAACACGTAACAACTTATTTGGTCTATATATCCATTCTAGATGTCTGTGCGAATTTTTTTTTTTTTTTTTTTTTTAATAAAGAGTAGGCCCTAGCCGAGGAGCTTACATGGTTAGAGCATCGTCTCAATGTGCCAAGGTTGAGGGTTTGATTTCCAGTCAGGGCACATACAAGAAGCAACCAGTGAGTGCAATAAATAAGTGGAACAACACATCAATGTTTCTCTCTCCCCTTCCTCTCTCTAAAATCAATAAATTAAAAAAAATTTTTTAAAGTAATTTTCAGGACTTCTTGTCAAGATGGTAGAGAAGGTAAATGCTGGGCTTGCCTCCTCCCATGGCCACATAAAAATTGTAACTAAATTATATACTTCCAGGCAAGATGGAGGGGTACATAGACACACTTCACCTCCTTGCGCAACTGTTAAGAGGGATCACAACTAACCTCAAAACAAAAACCAGAATTGCCAGAAAACTGAACTGTATGGGAGCCCAACAACCAAGAATTTAAAGAAGCCATATTCATCTAGATGGGTAGGAGGGGCGGAGTGGGGGAGCCAGGGTGGAGAGGATGCAGTGTGGCAGCAGCGAGGAGGCATCCAGTGGAACAGGCAGTCCCACATTTGCGTGTGGTAGATAGATTGGGAAAGATACCTGGGGAGTGAGAGATCCCAGCCACAGGCCAGACAACACAGCCCAGGGTTCCAGTGCCAGGGAAATAAAGCCTCATAACTTCTGGCTAGAAAAACCAGTGGGGGTTGAGGTGGTGGAAGAAACTGCGGGTTTCTCAGGAGAGTCCATTTAAAGGGCCCGTGCAGTCTTAGAACATATACAAACCCACCCACTCTGGGAACCAACACCAGGGCAACAGCTAGAGGGGCACCAGTGGCATAGGGGAACTGGATGAAATGAGTGGAAATGGGCGAATGCCAAGCAAGCCTCCAGCAGCCAGGCAGCAGCACTGTCCCTTCTCCGACCTCTCCCCAACATACCAAGCCACAAAGTAGTGAAGCAGGTTGCCTCGCCCTGACACATACCTAAGGCTCTGCCCCATTCAACTTAACAGGTATGCAACAACAGGGAGTCAAAGCAGGTCTACCTAATACACAGAAATAAACACAGGGAGGCTGCCAAATTGAGGAGACAAAGAAATATGACCCAAATGAAAGAACGTAACAAAACCTCAGAAAAAGAACTAAGTAAAATGGAGAGAGCCAATCTGTCAGATGCAGGGTTCAAAAGACTGGTTATCAGGATTTTCAGACAACTCTCTGAGTATGGCAGAAGCATAAGGGAAGGAGAGAAGGCTACACTAAGTGAAATAAAGAAAAATCCACAGGGAACCAACAGTGAAGGGAAGGAAGCTGGGGTTCAAATCAACAACTGAAAACATAAGGAAGACATAAACAAGCCAACGAGAATAGAATGAAGAAACAAGAAACAAAAATTCAAAAAACAAAGCAAAACAAGGAGAGAATAAGATGACTCTGAGACATCTCCAGAAATGCCAACATTCAAGTCATAAGGATGCCAGGAGAGGAGGAAGAGCAAGAAATTGAAAACTTATTTGAAAAAATAAAGAAAGAAAATATCCCCAATTTGGTGAAGGAAATAGACATACAAGTCCAGAAAGTACAGAGTCCCGAACAAGTTGGACCCAAAGAGGACCACACGAAGGCACGTCATAATTAAAATCCCAAAGGTTAAAGAATCTTAAAAGCAGCAAGAGAAAAGCAGTTAGTTACCTACAAAGGAGTTCCCATAAGACTACCAGCTTATATCTCAAAAGAAACTTTGCTGGCACAAAGTATTCAAAGGGATGAAAAGCAAGGACCTATAACCTGGATTACTCTATCCAGAAAAGCTATCATTTAGAATGGAAGTGCAGATAAAGTGCTTCCCAGACAAGCTAAAACTAAAGGAGTTCATCATCACCAAGCCCTTATTATAGTAAATGTTAAAGGGACTTATATAAGAAAAAGATCAAAACTATGAACATTAAAATGACAACAAACTCACAACTATCAACAATGGAATCTAAAACAAAACAAAAAAAAACACACAGCAAACTAGAACAGGAACAGATTCATAGATATGGAGATCATCTGGAGGATTATCAGGGGGAGGGGGAAGGGGAAGAATACGGGGTACAGGGATTAAGAAGCATAAATAGTAGGTACAAAATAGACGGGGATGTTAAGAATAGTGTAGGAGAAGCCAAAGAACTTACACATACGACCTATGGACATGAACTTAGGAGGGAAGTGGGTACTGGGTAGATGGGAGCAAAGGAGGAAAAATTGGGACAACTGTAACAGCATAATCAATAAAATATACTTTAAAAAAATGAACAGGTCACAGTGTAAATAAAAGTTACAGAGGGTGATGCCAAAAAAAAAAAAAAGTAACTATAGAACAATCAACCTGGTGAACCACCTGAAGATTCGCTGAACACAAGTCCTGCAACTAATGCTATAACGAAGCCACATCGTGGAGACTGATAGGAGGTGGGGAGATGTGGAACAGGCAGGTTCCATACCAATTGCATGGTGACTGAGAATCCAGAGGGATATCTTCATTGTGGAAGTCTCCCTGAGGAGTGATGGGTCCTAGCCCCACACAGGTCTCCCCAATCCAGCTAATCTAGGGAGAGTAGTCCCTATAACATCTGGCTGTGACAACCAGTGAGTACCGTGTCCTAGCAAGGTAGAAGGCTGCTGGAGACCCAAGTGGTCCTTTTGGGAGGGGAATGGGCCTGGAGAGACTTACCTGCACACAAACTTACTTGATCTGGGCTCCAGTGCAGGGTCAGCAGCTCATAAAGTGCCAGGTACATATGAGATTAACTAAACTGACTAACTTCAGAGAAAGAGCTAAAGGGGCATGGGGTCAGGACAGCTCTCCTAGGATGCAAGTTCTGGCAGGCTCCATTGTTCTTTTGTTGAGTGTTCCTCTCACCCAGCCAGCAGGCTCAGAGACGCGCCAAATCTGTGCTCCCCAAATCAGGCTAACATGGTTCACCCCACCCAATTCACTCACCTGACCAAGTCTCTTCCAGTGGCTTTTCCACACAAGCAGCCCACCTCAGTTCACACTGTGGACTTTCCCAAAATCTCTCAAGGGTCCACAAACCCTAAACAGCGGCTGGCCCCTGTGTGCCTTGTAGCTCTTGCTAAGTGGCCCCAAGCCCAGCACAAGCAACCACTGGTCTCAATTTGCAATTTAATTCCTGTCAGGTGGTCCCAAGCGTAACACAGTCTTGGCCTTGAACACAGCTTCCAATAAGCAGCCCCAAGCCCAGCACAAGTGGCAGTTCACCTTGGCCTGCCCTGCAGTCCCTCCCAAGAGGCCCCAGAACCAACACGCGTTGTGGCTGGCTTCAGACCACACCAGAGTAGCACCCAACAAGCTCCATAAACGACACACCTGAAGGGCAGATTTGATTGGCACCTGCTCTGTGGTGTCTGCCTTCACATAACAGCTCATCTGCTGTAGTCACAGCCAGTCAGCCTGAGGGTCAGCCCCATCCACTAATGTGCCAACAGTAATCAAGGCTCAACTACAACAGAAAGGCACACAAAACCCAAAACAAGAGACACCCATAGAGCAAATGGCTCAAGGGATCAGGGAGACTGCACCAATGGGTCCTACAGGACACCTATTACATGAGGCCACTCAACCAAGACCAGGAGATATAGCAGCTCTATGCAATACAAAGAAACAAATACAGGTAGTCAGCCAAAAGGAGAATATTTTCATATTCTAAATGAAAAAACAGGACAAAACTCCAGAGA